CGATGTAAGTCGGATCGCCGACAGTAAAGCCAACAGGTGCTGTAGCGCAATTCTCTCCTGTTTACCCACTAGTAGCCTGTTTACCTTCCTGTTGCCGGAGAGTGCACAGAATTCTAAGCAGCTCTCGGGGAATTGGCCTGCCGGAGAATAGAAAAGCAAGTCGTGAAATGAATGCATACAGACGTCTTGTATGGATTTGTCCCCGTAAAACAATTGACTGGAGTTTGAGAGGAGCCAATAAAGCACCTGGGACCAGTACGACGGTTATTTCTTGCCTTGGACCTTAAAGAGACACTGTCACTTTTCCCATTTAGGGTAAAGTGGCGGTATTTGTGTAAGGACCGCACTCGTGACCCATAGATACTCCCTTCTCAAGTGTTCCTCTGCTGCACCTTCCTCCGTCCCAGCAGCAAGTATTGCAAAAGAAGTCACCCGCACTCCAAGGTCCAACATCTAAACGCCTTTATTCAGATGCTAAACAATATGGCAACACTAGTGGACAGCAATGTTTCGGAACTTTCATAGGTCCCTTCATCAGGCAAACATAGTGGTCATTATTTTTGCCTGATGATGGGACCTGTAGCTCCTTAATGAACCCTCTGGGAGCCCGCGGTTGGAAGAGAGCTGCCTCGAAAAATGAGACATTCTCTGTTGAGCTATTACATAGAAGGTAGTGGTTCTGCAGTTCTCAGAGGTAGCTGGGGACATTGATCAGGCACCCTGCACAAGGAGAGAGAGCAGCATTGGCCGGTCTTTGTTACAGGAGGGAGCGGAGACAAGACCAGTCACCCTGCACAAAGAGAGAGAGAGCAGCATTGATCGGTCTTTGTTACAGGAAGCTCCTGCACAGAGGCACACCTTTGAATCTACTTAAAATTGTCCATCTCCTCATTCACTTGGGGCCCATTTACACTATTCCATGTGTATTACACTGGTAGCACACGTTGTACATGCTTTTGGAAAGCATCTCATTCATTTGTAACGGTCTCCCTGCATTATTCAGTGCTCCTGACTGTTCAACACACCACAACGTATAGATGTGCATACACATCTGTTGCGTTGTGCAGCGTTGACAAAAAATAAGTTGGGGGATTCTTTTTGGGCCATTCCAGCTCCTTGGGAGCCCCTAGAAAACGAATGGGCTCATGCAACGTGTGTTGGCACGCCAAAAAAAGAGCAAAAACAAATCAACGGATTCTATGAATGGACCCTTGAAGGGAAAGAGTCATGACTGCCAGGGTCAAGTGGTTTCCTCACATCTATGTTATTAAGGAAATTCTAAAACCCCGTCCCTCTGGGAACACAAAACGACCACGGAGAAAGTCAACATATTTCTGTTTCAAATCTCGTTGAGAGCCACGCGGCGCAATTATTTCCTAGTAAAACCAGACGTACTACTTAGAAGTATTTTTTTTTTTTTTTAAAAGCGTTCCATTCCCGACCTTAACCCGCTTAAACTCTCTCTTTAACCCTTTAGGAGCGGCCGGCCTCTCAGTCTCTGGATTCTGCCGCGTCGCGCTCCACTGCCGGCTCCCAGCAGAACGCCGGATTAAAGGAATGTGTTCCTCGTTGCCGAACATTTCCATTTTGATTCCTGGAGGAATGTCTTGTGGTTGAGAAAGATAAAGGATTATTAATTTAAAACCCAGGCTTCTGAGACTGACAGCACAGGCCGTATTAATGTGTTTCTCTTTCCAGTCCTTGCTCGGGCAACCTTTCAATTAACTCGTCCGGCGCCGCGACTTGTTCGGCAGTCGTTATGAGTAAGCAGGTGAATCCCATGCCGTGGTGATGTCATCTCAGAGCCGTGACCTGTTTCAGAGTTTAGGCAAGCGTGGATGATGACAACAAGTGGACTTAAAAGAGGACCTGTCATCTGTTTATGAGTGTTAAAGGGTTAGTCCACCTTTCATGTTTGTTTTTGGTAGATGCTGGTGAGTTAAACCCTTGACAGTTTCTACTATCCCTTGGGAACTCTATAAGTGGGGTGTCCGCGATAAGTTCCCATTATGAGGGGTGTCCACCATCCTTGCTTGTTAATTATGTACTTTATATTATGCAGTACATAGCAGGAGGAGTGAGAACACCCACAACTCCCAGATGGACAGCTACAGAATGAGGACTTATAGCATGGATAGTTGCTGTTTGAGCATCCAAGTCACAGAAAGTGAGGGGCTTACCCAACCCATTAGACTCCATTTGTAACTTACATTTTTTTTTTTGGATGGACTGGACCTTAAAGGATATATATCACTTAGGGAAGCCTGACACCAGGCCTCTGCTCTTTAGGGGGCTATAAAGTCCTGCCTGTGTGTATGCAAGTGAGTCTAATTTAGGTAGAGTTGTCCTTACGCTAGTTCCTGGGGTCGGGGACCTCCAGGCATTTGACCCCGGGGCTGGTGGGATCAGCAAGAGATTGGTTTTAATAGAAGTCATTAATGTACATGAAGCTGGTACTTAAAGAAACACGGTCACCTTGCCTATTCAGGGCAAATGAGAACGTATTTGCAAAAGGGCCAACGATCCACTGATACCAACCTTGGTAGCGCTCCCTACTTTTTTACCTGCGAGAATACCTGGTGCTTCCAGTCATGGGGGGGGGGCATCACTCA